ACTTAGATTGTTTAGGGGCCGGGGAGATGGCTCAGTAGAATAAGTGCTTGCCTGGCAAGCGCAAGGGCCTGAGTTCAATCCCTGGTTCTGCCACAAAAAACAACAACAAAAATGCAATGCTCTTGCAGTTTTGGGGTTGGTGAGATGGCTCAGTGGTCTAGAGTGCCTACTTAGAACAAGCTTAGTAAAGCACAGGGACCACGGTTCAATCCCCCAGCACCACATGCCAGCCAGCCCTGCCCTCTGGTGGGCTGAGCTGGCCACACACACACACACACACACACACACACACACACACACAAAATTAAATTTCTATGTACTTGGATAATATTTATTGTGGATTTTTAGTCTGTGAGATTAAAATTAATTTAAAAAACCTAGCTGGATATATAGCACACATTTATCATAAATATAGCAGTTAATGACTGGGAGTATAATTCAGTGGTTAAGTATGCTTAGGATGATCAATGCCTTGGCTTCAATCTGTATTACTACCAAGAAAGAGAATGACATAGAGACAGAGACAGAGAGAAATATAATTTATAAAACAAGAAGATACTCTTTAAAGAATAAAAGGTCAGATTTGGAATCTTACTGAACTACATGATTAGAATGCTAGTGAATTAAGTCTGTGTGTTCTAGTCAATGATTAGACTCAGAAATTCCATATATCCAAAATTATCCTTTAAAATTCTTTTGGACTTCAGTATATTGAAGTCACTACATCATAATATGAGCATTGTAGCTTTTTAAATATAAACTTAAAAAGATCTTAAAATTGATTTAGGAAAATATTTATCACTCCAGGCATACCTTTTGCTATATAAATTACCTTATGAGATGCTGAATGTTGCCTTTTTAAAAATTCATAATGGTTACCATTAATAAACAGATTAGGGGAGATAAGCACCTACCTGCCAAGCACAAGAACCAGAGTTGGATCCCTGGCCATATCCTGTGCCGGCCCAATACCAGACCTGGTGGTGTATGCCCGTAATCCCAGCACTTGCGGGAGATTGAGACAGGAGTATCACTGCAAGTTCGAGACAGCCTGCGGGCTACAAAAGTGAGCACAAGGCCAGCCCGAACTGCATAGCAAGACTCTATCTCCAAACTAACTAAATAAATAAGAAATAAAAGAAGTTAGTTTTTCAAACTACAATTCAAATCAATGAGCTAGCTACAGATATCATACAAACAAAATATAGTTTTCTTTATCTCATTTGTAAAAGCCAAGTGATAACTTCCAGCAAACATCTTCTAATGGAATAAAACATAAAAATTAACTTACGACATTTATAGTCTACTCATTGTTTTATAGTTTGACATTACAACTAAATAAGTATAAAATAATATTTGAAAATTTTATAACTCATGCGATATATTGAAGGAAATTTATGCCTCTTGTATTTCAATGAAGAATATACTTGACTTGGACATTTTTATGACTTCTAACAAAAATATACTGCTTATTTTTTATGTTATTCTATATTACTGGCATTGTCAGTTTTCAAAAACTTTCACTTAAAACAGGAAATTAATTTTCTTTTTATCAACAGCTCTTATTTTAGCCTTAAAAACTCTTCAAGAAAAGATTCATCGTTTAGAAATAGAGAGAACACAAGCTGAAGATAACCTGAACATGCTTTCTAGAGAAGCAGCACAGTACAAAAAGGCCTTGGAGAATGAAACAAACGAGAGAAATCTGGCTCACCAGGAACTGGTAAAGCAGAAGAAAGGTAAAACATGCAGTAGTTGTCAGAAGGGAGAAGGGGACACCAAAGTTTACAACTTGACAATGATAAATACAGTCTAAGCAGATGTATTCAAATTTCTTTGTTGTTGTAAACAATGAAACTTTGGGAATTAATGTAATTTGTAACTCACTTCTATTATATCTATTATCCAAGTTCTTTTTTTCACTCTTTTATTTCTTTGACACAGTATCTCCGCTATGCGCAGCTCAGCAGCTCAGAACCTACACAGCTTGGACTCGTAGTGATCCTCTTGTTTTCAGCCTCCCCAGTGCTGGGATTAAAAGCGTATACCACCACACCGGGTTTTCAGTGGTCCGCATGGTGTGTTCCAGGGTTCTGGTGCAGAATGGCATATAGGAATCAAACCCAGATCCTTGTACTTGCCACACAGTTGCTTAGACCACACAGCTATCTCTCCAGCCCCTAAAATATTTGAGAGTAAAGAAAAATAGTTTTTACATAAATTTTGTTTAGAAATTAGGATAATTTCAAAAAACCAATGAAATCCAATTTAATATATAATATAATGGAAATGCTTTATATTTTCAATCAACACTAATTTTTAAAATTTGAAATATAAAGTAACAATAGTGCTTAAACAATTAAAATGAAATAAAAAAAGACTTTTCATTAACATAAAAGGAAAACAAGATTAATTAGAGGAAACAGCCAAGCAGGTAGAAGCTTCTGTGAAAATTATGAAAAGAATTTAAGACATAGGGTTTTGGAAATTTAAAATGTAAGTTTTTTATATAATTTCACTTTAGCACTGTAATTGTTTTCCTCTTGTAGCACTACACAAAAGCAAAGCTCAAGTTGTTTTCCACCTTACAAATAGAGACTATAGAGGAAAAAAATTGTGTGAGGCAAAGAAAAAAAAGGTAGAAGAAAGAGGAGGAAAATAAAAAGTTAACAAAGATTAGAAATAGGTTGCTTTACCCCTCATGAATTAGCTCTGTGGTCAGTATTCAAAAGCAAAGGAAAATAGGAGTAACAGGGTGTATATTCCTGTTTTTTTCAGACAAGAAGAAACTTACTGATACTTTAGAGACCTTCCTGGTGTTCCCTAAGAACAGCCAGGTTATTTATCATCCCCAAAAGTCACTGGCATCCTCCCCTTCCAGAAATTTGCATTACAGGTTTTTAGGAGATGATAGTGTTAAATTAGTTATAATAATTAATGAAGTATTCACTAAATTTATCTTTAAAGTCTGTACTTAAAAGCTATTAGGGATTTTCCTCACAATAGCCCACCCTGTTCTCTAGAGTATATCCTTTTGTCTGGCTTTTTCCTGTTTTACTCAGCCTAAGATTGCTCCCCAGAGCCAGTTTCTTACTCTTCACTTTTACTTTTTCAAATAAACATTGCTACCATTAAAAATTAAAGTTAAAAAAAGTCAGTACTTACATGTAAAAGAAGCCTTGAGCTGTAAACTCTAATTGAATTTTCATAATGTGTTTCTCATTACTGTACTGTATCTCTGTGATAAGAAACTAATTGAATCATTATTATTTTGTCTTTTTCATAGATATAAGTATACAATTAAGCTCAGCCCAGTCTCGTTGTACTCTTCTAGAGAAGCAGCTGGAATATACAAAGAGGATGGTCCTCAATGTAGAACGTGAAAAAAATATGATCCTAGAACAACAGGTGAGCATATTTTCTATAAGGAATGATAATTTTAAATATTTTTGAAGAATACTTGATATGAGAAAATTGAAAATTAGAATATAAAGCTATATGTAGGAAATTTCCACTTACAATACTGATGGGCTAGGTCATTCATACCAACTTTTTTTCAGAGAAAAAAGAGAAAGGAAATAAAAAACAAAACATACACAAAGGCATTGGAGAGCTAATAAGTCATTAAAAAGTGACCAATGCAAAATCTTTGTGCACACTTAAATCCAAAGAGTGGCCTGACATTTCAGGCTCTCTTTGAAGGCATTTGGATTCCAGAAGAGAGAATTGAGAGGCTAAACAATGCCATTGGAAATCATCCTGCTGGGACCAAGAATGTGGAGTATAGGGCCTACCAAGCTCAGGAACCTTAGCCAATCATATTTTCTCAGTGCTTTGAAAGGGTGAGCAAGAAGGAAAGCAATCCACATCATAACTCCATTTCATGTCTTCAGGGTACCTCAAAAACTTCAAAAGTCCTACAATTGGATTAAAATTGTCCTGTAGTATTAGCATTCTCAGGGACTTTAAGTTGCTTGTATAAATATTGCTTCAACACATCTAGCGGCTTTCAGAGGCGGAAGAAGGTAAGAATCTATGAACAAGAAACAGCATCCATAACAGACTCTGCAGACTAACCGCAGCTAGATATTGGCTTTAAAAAACAGACTTTAAAATACTCATGCTGGGCTGAGGAGATAGCTTAGTGGTCTAAGCCCCTGCTTGGCAAGTTCAAGGACTGGGTTTGATCCCAAGTGCCATGTGCTGTACCAGCCCCAGTTCACTATGAGCATGAGTCCAAGCTGCATGATGAGACCCTGTAAGGGCTGGCGAGATAGCTTAGTAGAGTAAGTACTTGCCTGGCATGAGACCCTGTATCAAATAAATAAATAAATTTTTAAAAATTAAATATTCATGCTTGCATTAGTCAACAAAATAAAAGACATGGTGGAAATTTTCAGTTGAGTATTAGGCTCCATAAAATGGCGAAGCAAATTTGAGAAAAATCAAATAAAAACTATAGAACTGAGAAAATACGGTAACTGAAATTTAGAACCCAGTGAACAGATGTAAGAGCAAAGTAGAAAGACAATTAAATGGAATTAGGACAGATGTGAAAAGACAAAATTATAGTAAATTCTAAAAACAGAGTAAGAGGCATCATTTCCAAGAAAATCGGACTTGGTGTACTTGAATTTCAAAAAGAAAGGAGAATGGAGCAGAAACAACATACAAAGAAGTAATGGGTAAGAGTTTTCCAAAATTGATTTAAAAAGCAAATCATGCCTCATGTTCAAGCTCCATAAAATCAAGCAGAATAAATATGAACAAAGATATACCTAGATACCTAATAATAAAACAAAAATAAAATCAGCCAGAAAAAATTATTATATTCAAAGAAACAGTTATTAAAGTCATAAACTGACTTCTCAAATGACAGTACTGAAGCCAGAGAAGTGTACTGATAAAAGAGTTAAGGGCCAGGTATATAGCTCAGTAGCACAGTGCCTGGCTGGCAAGCATGAGGTCCTGAGTTCAATTCCCAGTAAAAAAAATAAAAACAATAGTAGTAGTAGTAGTAGTAGTAGTAGTAGTAGTAGTAGTAGTAAAAGAAAA